GGAATGCCTCTCTGAAATAGCCCATCAGATGCAATACTTTGGCAACCCCTACTTTAGAAACTGGAGAGCTTGTCAGGGGGTCACCTAGGTACAGAGTCCTAGAAATCAGCTTTATTAATTAAGCCAGATCTTCAAAACTAACATTCCTATTAAGTTTGGACTTAAATAGAAGATGAAAAGGATTCCTTGTGTACCAATGAACCCACAGACACTAAGTTTTTCTTCTTCAGCAACATATTTCATTCTTTACCCAAAAATATAGGTAAGTCATAAGATAAAGACAATCAATGATTTGCTCTTTGTGGGAGATTTAGCTTCAGTCATGGACAAAGCCTTGGAATACTAAGGAAAGAATTTCAGGGTAAAACCTGGAGACAAATGTCTTACTGCCTGAAACACCCCCTTTATGACAAACAAGGGCTGAAATGCTGTAGCTTTCAGGATCTTCTGGCTGTCACACTGTTTCTAGAAGTAGAAAAAACATGATGTAGTTAAATGTTTAATTTCAGAGAAGTAAGGAGCTTAGAGTAAGAATGCTGAAAAAGTGAAGCAACTGGAACTCAGGTTGGAAAATCTTGTAAAATAACCTAAAATGATGAGCTGAGAGTCAGTTTCCATCACTAACTGTCCAGTTAAAAACTGGACAGCATGGGTTGGACTCACCTGAAGCAAAGGGAAGCCAAATATCCTACTATGTTCACCACCACTGGATAAGCTAAAAGATTTCCCTACTTGCTCTAACAGTGGAGGGAGTGTTCTGGCCTGGCTCTGTTTCTGTATGTTTCAAGGAGAGTGAAAGGAAGCATCACAACTGGGACATCATGAGACTGTTAATAAAAAATGTATACATAACCACACTGCTATTTTCAGTATGGATGGCCAAACAACTACTTCATAGGCAGTCAAAGGACTCTACTTGAGGGAAAAACTGAAGAAAGCTTAACAGTCAACCTACAGAAAGACTACAGCTGGCCAAGGAAAACAAATCTGGATGGATGATGACTGATCACTGCCTCTAGTCAGTTCAAACAGAGGGAAGTCAACTGGTTCAGCCACTCAGATGAACAGAAGCAAAGAGTAAGTTCTCACATAATTTGGCTTCTGAAGCATATATTAAGTGCAGGCTAATGCCATGTTTTTAGTAGGTATGAACACCAGGAGTATCCAGAATTTATTAATAAAACAGACCATCATCTCAAAGAATTAATTTTTAGCTTTTTTCATAAATCAGATTCATAGAAACACACTACTGAAAATTTATTTAACCTATAATCCAATCAAGGTGCTGTTTTGAATTGTCTTTTCTATATGCACAAATGATTATACACACTCTTCTGCTGCTAGCATGTCTTGAGGTTTTTTCCTAATGTTTCCATTTCTGCTTTAAATCAGTTCTTGACTGTATCTGCACGTGCATATTCCACCACTACATATATGGGTTTCAGCCTGTTTTTTTTCAGTGCAGAGCGCTTCATCTATTTGCACAGAATCTTTCAAGTTTAACTTCTACTAGAAACAGAATCTGTGTTACAATATAATTCACTAAAAGAAGTGGCAGCAACCAAACATTTAAATTGTGTTTGAGACAATGTAAAGCCTCCTGTTTTTGGAAGCTTTATTACTCTTCTTTTTAGTAAGAAAATTACAAAGTTATTTTGTATTATTTATGTGCACTTTATTTATTCCTTGAAGTAACTTCTACAAGAGTGCTTTTACACACAATTTTAATTTGGCAAATTATTAAATATGTTACGGCAGTCTGAATAATTACCTGAATAAACACATTTTGGGTTTTCCTCAAAAGGAGCATTAACCATTCACCTTGACAAGAATATTTCTGCTATATATCTTAGCACTCATGAAAAGCTTAGCATCAAGGCATTTATGGTAAGATGCATGCAGCACATTCCCTGGCTGTGCTTCAAAACATCAAATGTTATCTCAGTTGAGTCACACTTGTGGGAACAGCCTTACTCTGGATTTTAGGGCAGCCTGAATCGGTCTCCAGTAATAGTACCCTTTGGTGAGAAAAATCCCTCTCACTAAATTCATTACCTAAACTCATGGGTCTTAGAATAAATATAGGTGCAAGTATCAGACAAAACGTAGCTGAACATATTTAGTTTGCAATGCCTGGAGCATAGGATGGAGGCAAGACATGAGCATAGTACAGAAGCAGTAAACAGAGTATATCAGGTTTAAGATAAGAAGCCAGTTTTTCTTTCTAAGACAAATTTTGTGCCACAAAGGTCGAAGTTGACAAATCCAAGAACTTAACCCATTTATTCATAGAATTGGCATATAACAAGAGCTTTGAACCCAAATGATCCGGCTTCTTTTTTCATCTTTAGAGGAGGTCAAGTTTGAGGAGCAGCTCACTACAGGCCCATTCTGCCTTTGGTCTCTATTGAGCATGCAATCACCATTGGCACCTTGCTTATAATATGGATGGATACTTGTTCACCAGGAATTAAATTTAGACCACCAATCTGATTTATGTATACACACACAGATAAATATAATCTAAATGCTAACTGTGTGACATTTTGTTCCAATACTATTACTTCATAAATTGATGTAATACATCAATATTTTTTCCAAATATTTCTATGTAATCCATATTCACAATGGCTCTTTAGAATATCAGCAATATTAGAGTATGTCTGATTATGAATCTACATTATTACTTGACTCAATACATCAAACAAATTCATTAAATGATTACTAAATCTGCATTGCTGGATCACCATTATAAACTTTAATTTGTAAAAACAACATTCAAATATTTAAACAATAATCTCAATCAAATAATAAAAAAAACATACTTTTGAAATCTCCATCCCCAAATGTCAGCGGATAAGCTCCTGGTTTTTCAATCTTGTACATTTCCTCTATAAAAAGGATTCTGCAATCATTTATTATATCATCTGGGCCTCTGAAAAATTAAAAAAAAAAAAAATTGAACTTCGTCTCTGATTCCTACTGCTTTAAATGATGAACTAAAGCAAGTGCTACAGCTGAAAATTCTCTCTCAATTCTATTTTAAAAATCCATACATTTGGATTGTCACAAATGCTGCACAGAGCACCAAACAGATAAAGCAATTCTATGTAAAGTAACCATAGCAATTCAATACAGGGATACCACTGTTGCCTAAGCCAGAACAAACTAATAATTTAATACAATAAATGGCAAATAAAATACACAGCAGAGGAATTATCTTCATCATTCTGCCGTTCAACTAGTCCAAGTCTGAAAAGCAGCAAGTGATTTCTTAATCATGGGTTCCATGATTTTGTAGTTCCATTCTCAAGTGTTCAAAACAGTTTTGCCACCCCATAAGAAGAGCAGATAAGTCAAAATCTAAAAATATAACAAACATCAAAGTATCTGCATCAGTAGGACTATAATAAAATTATAATGGTAGCAGTACACCAAGAATTGTAACCTAAAAATAAGATTAGGATTTTGACCCAGTATTTTTAATAAATTTCACAGTAAAAGAAGTATGTCGGGGGAGGGAGGTACAATACTCATGCAAAGTCTATCAATTTATGTAGTTTTGGGAACTAAGGCAACAATCCTACAACATGTCACTTTAAGCATTATGTGTAGCCCTTCAACTTCAGAGTTTTACTGATGTGACATCCAACCATCAACTCTAAGTGGTAGCCAGATAGGCTACATACATATGTTCAAACAACCTGGGAAAGAGAATTCTGCTGTTACTTCTGGTAAAAAACAAAAAAAACAAAAACAAAAAACGACTTACCTGGAGGCCCCGGAACAGTAGGCAAATGCTGAGCTGCTGCCCAGCCAGGGGGACCCATGCGCAAACATCTCAGTATGCTCTGCAGATGCCACAGCTGCCTGGCAACAGATGACAGCAATGCACATGGCAGCCCTCACTGGCTGCCTTGTCACCCTGCAGCACAACATGGGGATTGTGATGGTGCTCTCTGCTCGGCTGGAGCAACAGAGTCCAGCCCAAGTGACATATTGTCTCCCTGGAGCTGTGGGGCAGGGGTAGCTGAGAGCAAAGTACACTGGGAAGCCAAAGGATTATTTCTCAATTAAGTGCAGCTTCTCTCAGAAGGTAAGAGTACAGAAGTTTGCTCTTCCAGGAGAAACTTCCTTGGGAGTCATTTAAACCCTGGTTGTTTTCAAGTTATTTTTCTCCCAGATTGCCCATTCTTGCTCTGGGAGTAACTCTGACAGTAGCTCTCCTAGTAGAAACTGAAAGTCTGCATGAAAGTCTGTATGTGACCATAGTGGTTCATCACCAAAGAAAGAACATGCTCATTATACAAGGCACATTCTGGAGATGGGAATGGAGCACGTTTTTGGGAAGTGAAACAAGGTTTTCATTGCCCCCCCTGCTTGCTGCGCTGGGCAGCGTTGGCTGCTGCTGCCCAGCATGCGAGCTCCGGGCAAGCAGCAGCAGCCAACGCTGCCCAGCACGGGGCCTAGGCTGGCAGCGCGGGCAGGTTACAAGCCAGTGCTAAGTGCGGGGAAAAGTGGCCCCTCGCACACCCCGTGGCCGGCGCCCTGCACTGCAGCTGCTCACAGCCCACTTGGGGCTGCCTGTGCCTGCTCAGGACAGTCCCATGCAGGCTGCGGGCAGCTGCAGCAGGGAGCACCAGCTATGGGGCGGGCGAAGGGCTCTTTTTCCCCGCCCCCGTGCTCAGCACCAGCTAGTCCCCTGCTGGTGAGCAGGGGGTCGGGGCTGTGCGCTACCCCCCGCCTGTACCGCGGGGCTGGGGGAGCACTGGGAGTGAGTGGGGCCCACACCCATGTCCCAGGGCCAGCACCAGCAGGGCCCAGAGCAGGGCAGCAGGAGTACAGGATCCCGGCCCACAGGGACTCTATGGAGCCAGGCCAACTCCCCCCTGTCCCTGCTGGTGCAGCCCAGCCCAGCTCCACAGACCCCTGCCAGCCTGTGCCCTACCGGTGCTGACCCTGGGACACGGGTCCCAAGCCATTGGGACATTGGTCCCAAGATGGTGACCAGGGGGCGGGGCACCTGTCAAGGGACGGGGCTACCCATGCAGCTCTGGACAGCTTGCCACAACTTGGTAAGCAGCCCTCCGCCCCTGAGCTAGTTTCATCTTATCATCTGATGTAAAACTAAATGAGTAATTGTTCATCAGTACTAGTTATGCCAGCTTCCTGAAAGTATATATATTCACTTCACAGAGCTAATTTACCTACAACTTTTATCTTCCATTATGAGAAGTAACCACTAATTAGGACATTACAGCCACAACCATATAAGCAAGAATGTGTGGTTTGTGGCGCCTCAAAGCATTTTGAGCTGCCGCAAAATGCATGTGCACGTTAGTCTATTTACAGCATGGTAGCAAAATGAGATACTGGGAAATCCCGGTGTCTAAAAAGATGCACCAAAAAAAGCGAAGCACATCGCTTCAGCGTGCACTGCCGAAAACCAGAGCCTGGCCAGCCAGAGCCACACTCCAGCTGCTGGCTAGGCTCTGCATGCCCTGATCACTACCACTGCAGACCTGGGAGGCCCCCAGGATCTCAGGTAAGGCTGCTGGAGCCAGCCCAGGTGCTGGCCCCAGCCTCTCCTACCCCACCCAGGGCAATTTGCTGCGTGTCAGAACATGTGCAGGGGCATACCCGGGGACAAGTAGCATTTGTCCCCAGGGAACTGCACATTCCCGCTAATGGGGACAGGCCCACTGGGTTAGACCTATTCATTACAACACTAGAGAGACTTGTGCCCCACTGGATCTCTCTTCCTGAGAGTTTAATTTCCTTCTGCTGAATTATTGCAAGCCCCACTCTGACACTGAAAGAAAATTTCCAAACCAGAAACCATATAAACAACTAGGTGGAAACATTAATACTAAAGGTCATGACGTGTGTAGGGAGATTATGTTCAGGACAGTGAATATGCTGCATTATGAGAAAAGCTCTCTCTCAGACATAGCCATCTACTGAGGCAGCCACTACACATTGAAAGCAATAAATATTGAATAGGAGAAAAGATAACACTTCCCTTAACTGTAGAATACATTGGCGTCTTAAACTGATTGAAAAAATAAGCGATTCTTGAAATCTACAGAAAATAGAGGTAGGGCAAAAAAGGATCATTAGTGTTATGGAAGAGATTCTATATGAGGAGGCTGGGACTATTCAATTAAGAAAACAGACACTTGAGGGGGGAACATGGTAAGGGTTTACAAAATACTAAATGGTGAATAGAAAGTTAATAGGAATTTATTATTACTAATCTTTCGCAATATAAAAACTAGGCATCATAAGATGAAACTAGTAGGGTAAGTTTAAAACCAACGTAAGGAAGTTCTTTTTCATACAGCATAGAATTGAAGCAAGTAACTCACTGTCACAAGATGTGGAAGCTGACAGTTTAATCATATTCAAAAAGGAACTGGACAAATTCTTGAAGGAAAGGTGCAAGAGTAGCTACTGAATATGGGAGTTATGGATACAGCTTCTGAACCAGAACTTCCCGTACTTTAAATGCTGGAGGTTGCAAGTGTAAGAGGAACAGGGGGAAATCCATGTCATACTCTGTCCACTCTATCTTTCAGCATCTGTCTCACACAATGCTGAGCAAGATGGACCCATGGTTTGACCCAGTAAGTGTCTGTTATGTAGAATGGGCCCCGGACTGCCATCTGTTCTGAATCTCACCTTCCTTGGAGATAAAAGCTAAACACTGACAGAACCTTACTTATCTTGGCAGACTGGATGTGGATGCAAAGTCACTATACTTGAATTAGCACCTATGAATTAACATAATTCTTAATATAAATTTGCTGCATTGGCAAAAGCTAGAAAAGAGAGGAACCGCTCAAAGCATCTACAAGCAGCCATTTTTTTGCAATGACATTAAATAACTAGTGGATGCTAGGTAGAACTAGGCCAAGAGGAAAAAAGAGGTTTTATATTTTTCTCTAAGGTTCAAGAACTCCAGACCCAGCAACTATACATTATCAGTTACTCAGATATTGAATGAAGACCTTTATTTACTTCCATCCTGCAAAGACACTTTTTGGCTCAAAAGAACAATAATAACTGGAAAGGAACTGTTTTATAATTCCTGAACAGAGGATTCGATTCACAGTTTTAGGTGAATCCTTCAGAGCCTTGTCTGAGAATTTTTCCAAATTTAATCTAATTGAAAAAGGTCTGAATGTGGTTTTGTACCAGAATTTTAAATGAGAAGTGTTTATTCTGAGCAAAATTTCTCTTGCTTTGCCCTTTGTGTTCAGTCACCCCCTATATGTTGGATCAATACCACTTATAGCTCATTTGATTATGAAATCAAAGTTTATTAAGGGAGAAAAGCAGTACATATACATTAATATTTTTCTAAAGATACCTGTTCCATTTGCTGATTGAACTATTTTACAACCGATGAAGAACAAGGGTTAAGAAAGGATCACATATGAGAAGAGTCTGAACTGGTTAGCTTGATATTCCATTTACTGATTTAATTTTATATTTGAAATCTGAAATGATGAAAAAGTAGAAATAAAAATATAACTATAAAAAGGCCATTTAACTGACTATTTCCTATTCTGGTCAGACATTGGGTTGCCTTAAAAATTTTGAATGTTCTTTTCTAAAGAAGCAATACTAACTTCCATTTATGCTGCTGGGTCTGGATGATCTCCTCTGAAGGCTTTAGATTCCACTTCTGAAAGAGACCTAAGTAATTTGAGATTAAAAAAAAATTCTTCCCTATCCCCGATCTTTTGTATTGAGAATGATTCAGCCCAAGTGCTACTGTTGTTCACAGCTGTGGTATATGGATAGGGATAGAAATAATCCCTGAGGTAGAACTGGAATTGCCATGAATAGGGCGGAAGGTGTATTCAGTTCCTGCTGTTTGCACCACCAGAGGCAGAAAATCTAGCCTACGGGTGAAAAGTTTGGCCATGC